ATAAAACCCTTTGGACTTATCAAACACAGATAGCCTTCCTCACATACTGTAGATGGTTTTGCTTGGACTATCAATTTTAGCATAGATTTGCGGCTGGTATGTTTTGATTTGTTTTGTCCATGAAGTGCCTTGCCTAGAGGGCACTCATATTTGTGTGCTTACTTTTTTGTACTTTGGATATCATATTTAGGTTCACAAGAGATCAGAGTGAAAATTCAGAGCCATATAATTTTCTTTTAATTTATATTTCTATTTATATAACTGCTCACACTTGCACTGTATCATATATTATATCTTTTAATATATTGCTTTTTATATTCCTATAAAAGTAGAATGTACACACGTGTTGATGTAAATGTAAATGATGTAAATGTAAATGCATATATAATTGTAAATGTTATTGGAGCTTTGTATAGCTAGATCAAGTTGTACAACATCGAGTGTCGTAAATATTTGAATGCGATTATTTTACATATGTATATATTTTGCAATAGGAAATGATTCTCCTTCTTTGGAGGATCATTGCCTTTGGAATTCTACAGAAGATTCTACAGTGAGATAATTCCAAGCAAAAATGAATAATCATATTCAAATATACATGTTTCATATGTGTAGAAGATCATGTTAATTGTGGTGGAGCTTGACCACCTTACTTTCTTGCAGAGCCCAATCATTAATAAATAAAAGTTTTATTTTTGTACTTTTTCTTTATATTGCATTTCATCATGCGATCATATACATATTACACAATCTCATTTGTAAAGTTTTCTGAATTATACCTCCTTAGTTCTAGGATAAAGCTTAACAAATCTTGCATATATATGATGATTATTTTTGTTTAAGATTGTTAGCCGGGAACTCACGATAGACAAATGTAAGTCTAGATTGTATACACCCCTCTCCTTCTACACATCTTTCATATTCTATCTTCTCAATAAATTCAAATTAATTCCATAATTTATAATATAAAGCCTATGCTATATATTTGAAAATCTTTAGTCTTAACTTTAATCAAGAGTTTTCTCTAAGGAGATATAATTAACTATAGTGACTTGCCCCTATAGGAAGTATATTACCTAGAATTAAAATAAACCCTATCTCAAGTTCTCTCTAAGATAGGGGAAACATCTGAGGGCGTAAACTTGCTTTAAATATTGAATTTAATTTCATAATGAAAAGATAAATGGATATTCTATTTGACGTTATGGTGAATTGAATATCCTTAATGTGTTTGATTATGAAAAGAAAATCCTTTAACTTTTCTAATTGAAATGATAGGCGAATATTCCCTTCATCCTTCATGATGGATTGCTTATTCACTATATTGTGTTTGATTAGGAAAATTAATCATAAATTTCCTTTTCAAATAGATAGTGAAACATTTGTCTGTCCTCCTAGATTAAAATGATGCGTAATCGAGTGCTTTATTGAACTTGCATATGTTAAGGAAACCTCTACTTTGACACTTAAAAAAGTTGTTAAAGTCCTCCTAGCAAAATATGGGTTAAGTACATATACATGACCAAGGTTATGATGACACCAGTAACATGCACGGTGAGTTCAATGGGCCAAATTTTTTTGTCATGAAAGAAAATTGTTTAGCTTATTATATATATATTGCTATGCACGTTAACTCCAATTGGCAATGATCGTTGTGGCTACAAATTATGTTGAAGTTGCTTTACTTTTTAATTTATCTCAAACTTGATAAATATTATCGAGAGTTCCTGTAAAATAAGAGATCAACTGCAAGAGATATAATATGACAATATATTAGAATAACAGCAAAGTGGCGAAGTTTTCAAAGGTAGAGGTTTAAATCAGGAAATATGTCTTTAAAGAGTTGGAGATACATGTTGGGGGCTATACTATGGTTTTCTTATCAATATAATTCTTTTATATGGATATGCTATTAATGTTCTTAACATAATATTAAAAGAAAAATCAAATTAGGAGAAAAAAAAAGGAAAAGTTTATGTCATAGTTGATGTTACGCAATATTTTAAATTTACTTATTTTTTATATTTATAATGAAGTATATATTAGGAGAACAAATGAGTTATCTTGGGTTTTATAAAGAAATGATCAAATATTGGAAAATATTTCTAACTAAATGCTACAAAATATGAGAGATGATGGGTGTAATACTTTATTAGCGAAAGTATGTATTTTTTTATGATAAGAATAATTTAATTATTTCGAATATGGCTAACAATTTTGTAATACAAGCGGATCGAAGCGTCATTCTCAAGAAACCGCAAATGAACATCACTACAAATTTGAGTTATTTTATTCAATTATAGTATACAATTACTTCTAGAACTCAATAATAAATTTGATGGGATAAACATTGTGTTGCTTATATGTTTGACATACTTGAATCAATGCGACTCATATGTAGCTTTTGACAAATAAAGATTAGTACATATGGCCAAATTTTATACGTCAACTTTTTTACATATAGATCTTATTATAATATATAGTCAACTTCATTGATATGAGATCTGATGATGCATTCAACAATTTAAGAGGAATTGAATAACATTTATAAAAAATGGTGGAGACTAAGAAAAATGATATTTATCTTTTTGGGGTTTTTGCTTATAAAGCTTGCTCTGATATTATCAATTGATGTAGCAACAATCGAAAAAGCATTCTTCGCTATGAAAATTCTAAATAGATTATTTGTACAATCCTATAAGAGGCTATTGGATGAATGATTATTTGACTATTTATATTTTAAAAAATATATATTCTTAATAGTATTGATAATGAAGCTATTGTATGATGATTTCAAAATATGAAGACTCGGATGAAGAAACTGTAGCTGTCATTTAATAAGAATATGAATATCATGTATTATAAATTGCAAGATTTTTTTAATTATATAATTCCTAAGGGGTGTCAAAACGAGTTTTCAGTCAGGTTCGGGTCCAAACAGGTTGACCCTAACTCGGTCTGATTTTACAAATGGTCAAGAATTCCAACCCGGACCAGACCCGTCAGGTTACCAAGTTGACACAACCCGACCTGCTAACCCGAATTTGGTTGACCTAAGTGGTGCGGACGAAGGGGCGAGCAACGCGAGCTTGCAGGTGAGAGCGTACAGGCCTGGAGTAAGGCAGCGCGCGAGTGCGGCAGAGCGTGCTAGTGCAGTGTGAGGCTAGCAATGTGCTGGTGCGGGGAGCAAGAATGCAAGACGGGGAGGGGTTCAGGTCAATTCCAGGTTTTCGGGTCGACTCCAACTCGATCCGGTTTTAAAAACGGGTCAGAAATCTAAACCCGGACCCAACCCATTTGTCAAACATGTTGACCCAAATCAGAAATTTTTCAGGTCGAGTCAAATATTAACGCCCCTATAATTTAATCACCAATGTCGATCCCAAGAATTCATGCCCCCGCGTAAAAATAAATTTCAACTCTGCCACTGATTGTGCGCTTATAATTTAATGAAAGATGGTTCATTTTTTTATGTTGTACACAACCCTGCACAGCACCTAAACATATGTGTTTGTTCTACACGCATATGTTTTCTTATATTTTATTGAAATATAGTTTAATTTAGAAGTTGAATATAGCTTTATATGACACAGAAACTCAATTCAGGGGCTATTCGTTGTTATGTGCTTATATTTTAAAGAAAAATAAGATATACATAATTGTGTACTTATATTATAATGAAAGACAAAATGTATACAGTAAAATACATCTAAATATGGTAATATGTTCTACAAATAGGTGTTTGCTTATGTTTTTAATAAAATATAATCTAATTTTGAAACTAAGCACATTTATGTCCAACACACAAATTTAATGTATGTGATGTGTATAGTTATATAGCCATGTTTTAACGAAAACAAGTTTTACATAGTTGTGCACAACACCTAAACTCAATGTAGGTGCTAATGTGTAAGAACCTGTTCAGCCGATTCATCTGAATAGGCTCTTATCCAAGCAATAGACGAATCGGACGACGATTAGGCGAAGCAGGTCGGATCCACGCGAGCGGAAGCGTGCCTGGCGGGTTCAGATCTCGGGTTTGAGTGAGGAAATGCGTACGGGAGTGAACAACAATGACTCCTCACACAAGATAATTTTGATTCACTCGCTCCAATAAAAGTAAATGAACGTGAGAAGTTTTAACTTAGAAGAATTGTGCCGAGAGGAAGAAGGAGAAGACATATAAGTTTGTGCATTTTAAGCATTTTTAGGTGATTTAAACCTAAAAAAGGGTTGATATCTAAATTGAGCGTAGAGGAAGAAAGATTGGAAGAGGAAGAATTCAAGTTTTTGAGAAAATTTGTAGGTGATTTAACTGAGAAGCTTTGATTCGACAATGAATGAGCAAAAAAAATTATTGAGGTAATTATCTTTGATTTGAGAAAATTTTAATTTCATAATTGAACTACGACAAGTATTGAAAGTCAAGATCAAGCTTGAGATTTGAAAGAAAATTAAAGCACAAAAGTAATCAAGTGTATAATTACAATTATTTTTATAGCAATAATAATTTCTTTTTAATTCATTACAATTATCATATATAATATCATAAATTATTATTGAATGTTTAATACATACAATTAAGCAATTGAAAATATTAAAGTAGTTAATTATAATTATCATACAGCAATTAAATTTGTTATTTATCATTTCAATTTGAGCTACTAAATTATGTCTATTTATTTATTTATGTTGAAAGTCTATTATTTTTAAAATGATGAAAGTTTAACACTCATAAAGCATTGCTCTTTTTAGAATCCTTTCTTTCTCCCTGTATTTCATGCTCTTTTTACACTTAATAATCTCAATAAAATTAAATTTTGATGTAATTCATAGGTAATTCTAAATTCAAAATGCTTACATGTCCATAAAACACAGAACAATCATAAATATATACAAAAAATAATAAAATTAACTGATACTTCCCATTAAAAAATTTAGTAATTCATTTGTCTGAAAGTGATATGTATATAAGATCAGTCCTATTTGAGTGAGACACATAAAGCATAAACATTATAAATAAAAATACATTCATGGTTCTAAAGTTCTAGGAATCATAAACCTTCTGCATTGAATGCACTAAATAAAGGCCATGAAGATGGTTCTGATGCAATTAATAACAAATCTGGAAGAAATTAAAGAGTCCTCCTCACAAAAAAAGCTACACAGTAATAAATATTGGAATCTGCAATCCACATAATAAAGCTCACATTCATCTACCTCAGCATCATCTTCTATTCTAAACTCCTGGCTTTTTACTGTAAAATTCTTCATATGGATAAAGAAGATTAGTTACGACGGTCAGATCTTTTCTGATCTTTTTTGCTTTCAAAACATTCAGAACAGTAAAGGAGAGAGCTGTCTTCCTACCTAACTTTCACAAGAAGCAGCTACAGTCCACCTCTTCTGTTAATGGCGAGAGTGAAGTATATCAGAGTCATTGTTCCAATGCTCGACCTGTATGAACAAAAAGAGGGATAATGAAAAAAGCAAATTAGATATACTTTAATAGCTTTGCAGAAATTAAAAGGTTTGGTTCACTTGCATGAAAAATTATGGATCATTTGTCTGTAATTTTCTGCTGCTCAGAAAATCTTGTTTGGGTTAGAAAAATTCTGTGTTTTTGAATAAATTTATTTAAAAACGATGGTTTTCTGAAGAAATTTTGAAGCTGTTTCATGAAATAATTGTTCGATCTGATCTTCTCTGTGATTTTTTTTTTCCAGCATATACTCATCTGTCCATCAAGTTGAGCGTTACAATTTGACTTACAATAGTCAAAAATTTATTTCAATATGAACGTAGAAACTAATTTTATCATTTAAGGAAAGCACAGATCATATTTTTATTATTGAGAGTAACAGAAATGAAATCTGTTTTTATTAAATTTAAATAGATTTTTTACTGGAAAGCTACTTTAAGAAGCAAGAAAAAAGCCGTCCCAAAGAAGGCTTCGTTTGGGACAGCTTTTTTGCTGCTTTCTAAAATAGCTTTTTAGTTAAAAAATTTTTTGAATTAAAAAATTTTATACTAAAAAAACCGTTTTAAGAAGCAGTATGAAAGTTGTCCAAAACTAAGGCGAAGTCTTACTTCCTAACATTGAATATTTTGCATTCTCATCCTGACATAATTTATATCAATATATTATGATGTAATTCTTTTTTATATGGATAGATATCAAACACAAATAGATATACTTTCTTCATTATGTACTGCGAAACAAAGATATAATCTTTTAATGCTTCCACGTGAAGCAGGTGAGCAGCTCAAATTACAGCCTGCTTAACAACAGCTGGATGGACACAACTCATTTTCTTAAGCCATCAGGCCCCAGCTTCGCAACAGCTAGATGAAAAGAAGTCCTTGTCCCACTATACAGAAAAAAGTACCAGCTATTGAAAAGTCATATGAAATAAACAATTGGTTACCGTTAGGATTTAGTTTGATAATCATCACAATTAGACTCAAACAATTGAAGCTAGATTGAATGAGATTAGTTCATTTATTAAGGTCAAGTTTAAGGCTTCGTTTGTGACAACTTTTTTATTACTTTTTCAGACAGAGTTTTAATAAATCAATAAAAAAATCGTCTAAAACGAAGCCTTAATTTGAATTTTAAACTAATTTAATGATGAAGAAGCCCTAGCAAGAAGAGAGATGAGTTTAGCTAAATATTGACTCGATATCATCCATGAATCATATGGTGAGATAGGTTTTAAATATTTCTTTATTAGATTTAAATGAGAATTTAACTTTTAACAAGACACAGTGACGAAAAAGGATTCATGTAGCCGACCCTACGTAGTGGGACAAAGGCTTGATGTTGTTGTTGTTGTTGTATGTGAAAGCTTGAAAGTGGGATGGATGATTTGTAAGGTATAATTAACACTATTTATTCATGAATTACATGATAAAGTAGGTTATCAAATGAATAAACTCTGCCAATTTTTGGTAGTTCAATCCCAACTAGCAAATCCTAAATCAAGTTGAGATGGCTAAACTTTGTTCTTATTTACACCCCATTACTAATCTGGTTCAGGAATTATACACTGCAAGTTCTAATCAAGTTATTTTTGAGTAAAAGGAACTTGTCAAACAACTTACATGGTCGCAAAAAAGAGGAGTATTTTCCGGGGGTGAATAGTTGTCCAACGCTGGAACCTTTTGTTTCTTCCATCCCCAGAGTCAGCTGAAATAGGGCTATTAAGCACAGAAGGTACAGTTATCAAAGCTTTGCTCTGAACCAATGGCAGCTTCAGTTGATCCAGTTGTGGAGGCAGCACTGCAAGGTGTTGCTATTACTATGATATCAACATAGCCTCTGAACTAACTTAGAGCAAAGATTAGAATTCAGATTTTAAAAAAGAGTATAATTTAATGCCTGAAACTGCTGCCCATTCAGGTTCTGGAGAAGGATTGATTTACATAATCTTATCCCGAGCCGAACAAAAAAGCTTTCCATGGCACAAAATCGCATGGCCTTACAGTGTTAGAGGGAGACCAAATGCAAAAAACTTAAAGTAGGAACTTTGGTTTAATAGTTAGTATACAGATTACTTGCTTACCATTGTCATCAAACAAGCTAAGAAAGGTTGCATTTCCTTTTCCTTCAATATTATATACTTAGCATGGTTGTTATAATCCAGATCGAGTAATACAATATCAAATGACAATAAAATTTCACATTCTGACTGAATGTAATGCACACTAATATTAAGCTAGCCGTTGCATACCTTTTATAAAAAGATTTTTGGATGGCTCCTCTGTTTCTTGCTTCTCCATCCGGTAGGAACCCTTACGAGCAAGCGACTTCTGCAAAGTTGTGATAACAAAAATCATACATATTTGGTAAGATTTACATGCAGTACTTTACAAAATGAAATATTTGGTTATGGAAAACAAAGAATGTAAAAGGAATAGAGATGGAAGTTGCTTACACTCCCAGAGCAACGTTTCTCTGGAGGCTGCTTCAGGCTTTCAATGTCTAAAACAACATTGCCTGCTTTATCCGTGGCCATAATATTGCTCTACAAAAGAATGAAACATAAAGCAGGCATATAAACTAAATTAAAAGGTCCAAAGTTGCAATGTTAAAGTCAAACATGATCGAACAATAACGAATTACTAATTAAGGCCCTGGAGAAGCTAACTCAATTGAATCCGCTACATGAAGAAAAATTAGCTCCCTAGTTCTAAGAAAATCTACCTTATAGATAATCTTCTTTACACATTCTACATACAATTTTATCACTTGCTCTATCTAGAATCATCCTTCTAATGAACTCTGAAAATATTTTCTGAACACCATGGCTCTTATACAAAAGATAACAGATCCAAAGGCAGAGAAGATTCTGCGACTCCCAGAAACCACCAACTACTAAAAGTATCATCTTTAAAAGCCTTGTTTGGATTGCCCCACTGCAACATAAATATTTCATCAATGAATTTAATGATTTTCTTTCAGCTTATTATTTCTGGATTTCACACAACTCTAAAAAATTATAGCAATCAAAGCCAATTACTGTTCATCCATCTTTTACAGTCTGACAGATAGCAACTAATAATTTCAGCAATTTAATACTAGTTTAATAGAGGATTAAAATAATTTATCCTGGTAAGAAATTTGGAATTATAGACAAAAATGTATATAAATGCAAATAATGGTCTCACTTACCTGAATCATAACCTCCTCCATTTCCATATCTACCAACCAAAAGCTTCTAAGGATGGAAATAAAAGCAAATGCCTACATTTAGAGAAGCTCTTATATCAGTGCTTAAGCTTGTATTGCTAAGCTTAAATAATATTATACCATCCATGTATTACAGAAGAAACTTCACTGTAACTCATCCAATAAAGAAAGTTACAGTAGGTCAATGTGATTAATGGCTAAGGGAACTATGGCTATAATGACAAGACTGAGTAGTTTGGGGAGTTTAATGGTGCTGAGTAAGTGGATGAAATAGTAGGCAGAATATAGAAAGAAAAAATAAATTTTGATAAAGCAAGATATAATTTTTTTGTATCCTAATCTATAAAAACAACTTTTTGTACTAATTTAATATGATGAAGATGCTAAGTACCTAAAACAAACAAATGGTGGAGACCAAAGTACCAATAGCGAAGGTTTTCTTTCTTCCCTTAAGAATAAAGACTGCATGCCACTTCTACATCATAAAAAGTCCAATTCCTATGACCACAAAAAAGAAGTTTCTTTCAACCTCAAAAACACTCAAGAGGATGCCTTTTTTTTCTTATCCTCATTTATTTCATCTTAGATAATAGAAAGATTGATAGAAATCCTAACCACAGAAGGAAAAAGAGCAAAAAAAGGCACATGCGTTCCCTTTTTTTCCTTGACTAATAATACCAAACTTCCCAAAATTTTGTTTTTCTTTGTCTTATATCAGCGTCAACTAGTTTAGTTGATAAAGGTGTCAAAAAAAAAATGTAAGACACCCAAATACTCAACTGCTTGAACTCATGATTCATGAACTTTGCGGTGGGAGCCTATTCAAAGTTACCGTTAAGATCCTAATGTAAGGTCTTATCTACATCAAATATGTCTCTTGGAACTCACCATTTCTTGTATAAAAATAATCCCCAAAAGAAAATTATTGAAAGAAAACATTAGCACCTCATTTTTATAGTTTTTACTAATCCAAATTATCAAGTGCTTATGAAGCATAAGTTCTTGTATTTTTTAGGGAATTCTAGAAATCTTTCTTCTACATCAAATTTAAACTTTAACCCTTAAATTATCACCCAAAAAAAATAAAACAGACTAAAATCCTCAGTAAAAATACAGAGAGGAAGATAGAGAATCGAAAAGAAAAAATGGATTAAAGGTAAACCTTTGCACCAAGTGTTAAAATTTTGCTACTGAGAGGAATTGAACTCTAAAGAAGAAAGAAAACAGAGTAATGGTGAGATGTAAGAACAGAAATGCGCTGTAAATGGACCTATACTTCTATTTTTTTCTGTAGGAGAGGAAAAAAATAGTTACTGTTTCAGGGAGATGGACAGCCGGAAAATCTTCTCCGGGGAGTTAGCTTCATTTGCGTTGTCTTCCCTGATGTTGAGTTGCAGATCTTTCGGGTCCAGCGGAAATAGATGAGAAGAGAGAGAGAGAGACGCTGAGAGTCACGAGATTCGGTATATTAACTAGAAGTTAATATTTAAATTGGTGATTAAGAGGTAATTATATTTTAATTAAGAATATATTAATCTATTATTTGCTAACTAATCAAATTATTATATTATTTTCGTGCGTTTTAATAAATGTATTAAATATTTATATGTGTGAATAATTTAATAAATAATTGCAAGTTATAGATTGGAATCATATGAGAATCTAAGAAGAAGAGGGTGATTTGACTCTTAATGAGTTCAGAGTCATTTTGTAATTAAACATAGAAAATATAGTTAGAAAATAATAATTTATTTTTTTCTCTTATTATTTTTTTGAAAAATAAAAGCAATCTAGTTGAGATATTTCAAAGTATTCATAGTATTTAAAATTTATATATATAAAAAAGAAATAAATCAATACTTTGAAAAAAAAGCCCATTTCTTAAAGCTTGAGTGAAACGACTTTGAATTGAAAATTTTTACTAACATTCAGAATTAATTTATGACAGTCTTCTTATTGATTTTTACAGCAATATTTTCTTTTGAATAAAATTAAAAAATAATGGACAAAATATATTCCAAAAAAAACCCTAATCAGATAAAAAACTTTCACTTAAACTACCAAATGGGTAAATAATAATAATAATAATAATTAAATAAAAAATTAAAATAAAAAAAAAAACAAACAAATGGGCCCAGATACAATTAATTTTGGACTTTTCTTCATTTGGGTTTCGATCATATATAGAGAGAGGCCCATCAGTATATTACCCAACACTGCCCACATATATAGCCGAGTAGCAAAGCTGGATGCTCTGCAAGTCTCTGTGCATTTTGTGCTTTAGGGAAAATGTTTTACCTCTCAAAATGATTTTTCTAAAGTTCTCACTTTTTTCACCAAAAAAAAAAAAAAGTTTTAAAATTTTATTAGAAAATGTGAAGAAAAAAAAATATATGGGATTTTTTCCACTCAAAAGTTTTTTTTATATAACTTTAGGATTTTGGGGGCTAAAAAATATTATCTTTTTATTGGATCACATAATTACAACGAAAATTATGTCCAAATATTACGACACAAATTAGATAAATTTAAAAATTATTTTATTTGATTTGAGATTTGTGCTACACTGCTACATATGAAGAACTTGAATTACAGTAATTTTGAAGCAAATCAAATAATTTCTATTTATTTTGATATAATGTATATTAAAATATTTTGAAATATTGCTTTTTCAAATAAAAAACTTAATTTTTTAATATGTTATTACGCTGCAAATAAAGGCAAGAAACTCATATGAAAAAGCATTCATACAGCTAACACATAAATCACCAAAAAGTTTATGAGGAAGTGGTAGACAAATATTTTAATTTATCTAAAAATCTTAGAAATGCATAAATCTCATAAGATAGATGATTTTTCTTCTCTAAAAATTCTAAAAATGATAAGCCTAAAAAGTACATTATTTTTATTTATCAAAGAATCCGGAATGTATAAGGCTTCATTTAAAATAGTTTTCTTAATATTTTCTAAAATAATTTTTTAGTTCAGATTTTTCATTTTAATCTGAAATAAAATAGTAGTAAAAAATTATCTCAAACGAAACCTTTTGATACATGCTTCTATATTATATTGAAGTTATATTTAAAAAATGAAAAAAAAAGTGATAAATCCATAAAAGATCGTAAAACATAAATCAACAAATTATCTTTAAAATGATATCAAGAATGCTTTGAAAATTTTTAGGTATATTTATATTATTTGATATAGATCAATAACCCATGATTTTAGTATAGTTATATTAGATAAAGTATGTGATTATAATAATTAAAACATTATTTATATATAAAAATCAACAAAATAGATAAATTATCCTATAAATAATTGAGACATACAACAAAAATAATTAATTGTTTGATCCTTGGATATCCTTTGTAATGTTAAAATAATTTGAGTTAAATAAAAAAATATTTCTTGATTTAAAAAAAAACTTTTTTTTTTTTTTTGGACAGGGAGTATCAGCTTTCGGCCACTAATCTCCCCGATCGACCTAGCGGACAACCCACCCCATACTCATCCGGGCCAACACTTAAGGCTTTGCACGAATTGCCATGGGATTCGAACTCGGTACCTGGCCTAAGGCTAGCCAGCTCTTTACCACCAAGACAACCCGTGGTGGGTAAAAAGCAAATTTTTTAATGCATTGGAGGAATAAAAAAGCATAACCAAGAAAGATTCTTCTTTGATATTCACAAATTCAATCAAGAAGGAAACATGAAAATCATTATTTATGATGTGTTCTAAATTAGGCACATGCACATGCATGGGCTAAACAACATAGAGGTGAGTGTGGTCAATTACTCATTCTGATATTTTATTTTTACATTTGAGTGAGGTAATTTTTGGGATATCACAACCTCTCTCTCATGATCATCATCATCATCATCATCATCATCATCATCATCATCATCATCAATGTAATCTAATATTTTTATCAATATAAACAACTAAAATATCATTTATCTATTAATCCCAAAATTTATTTTGTAGTCATTTTTTTATATTAGTCATAGTATAAAATATTTTTCCAACTCATATTGTTGTAAAAGATAACAGTATAACCCCAGTGCAAGATTTAGGTATGAAATATAAATTGGATTAATTTTCTATTAGGAGCTGAGGTCTCCCGATAATTAAAATTTACTCAAATTTGACATGATTATTATTAATACCTGTGTTAAACTGACCGTGTTTGAGTTAAATGAGTTTTATTTGGGTTCAACCTCATGTTGGTCTAAAAAAAACACAAACCATATAATAAATGGGTTAAATAAAGGTTTGGGTTTGGTGGATTCATATTAAGTTCAACTCAGATTGAATATTTTGACATATATGATAAACATTTGATTTTAGGGCAAACATATATACCCAAATCAAGTCAAGTTCATATCGGACTCGAATCTGATCTGCTAACTCAAAATAACACCTCTATAATCATGAACATTCATAGTTGGACGAACTAAATTAGGAGAGTGACATTAACTTGAAAAATTATTCTCTTCAGCGTCCGGATGCGTCTGGAGGCCAATTCGGACACGCCATGTTATCACGTGGCAAGTCCGGATTGACCTCTGGCCACATTCGGACAACGCAGAGAATAATATTTCCATTAACTTAGGGCCTCTTTATATCACTCTAATTATTTTATTTTTATTTTTTAAAAATAAATCAGTTGTTTAAGATAAACCAATTTTTTGATAGTACAAAATTTCTCTTTCTTCTCTTGGGTCAAATCACCAATCAAATAATCGTGAATGCATTTAATGACGCTCACCCTTTATGTATTCTATGTTTGGTAAGGTTAACAACGATTTTTTAACTTTAATTAATAAAACTTGTGGCTAAATAATAATAATAATAATAAAACTAATTCAAATAGGGCTCTAATTATATGATAGTAAATTCCTTGTAATTTTTCGGTTTTTCCTATGTCACGTTTAGACTTTGGGTTTAAGAAAATTCTAAAAATGTTTTAAGAGAATTAATAAAAAATGTGTTCCCAAAAATAATTAATTAATGATTGGTATTGTTGCGGGCTAGAATATACGTGGCGATAGAGTTACAAAATTTCCATCTCAGCGTTGTACGGATATCCAGCACACAAACATGAGAGATATAGAAACACCGGGATTTTTACTTGGAAACCTTGAAAAGGGAAAAAACCATGCACGGGGTCATGCCCAGTTGAAAAAGTTTAACTAGTATTTTTTTGAGATACAAAAGATTGACTCGTCTGTAAAAGTTAGGACGATCATATTACAATGAATCACTTCTATATTGAAATTCAATTACAATGTCGGACAGGGTTCCGACGTTACTTGGAGATTGAGCAGAATTCTGGCGTCGTTCAAAAATTGAGCAGAATTCCGGCGTCGGGTAGAATTCCGGCATCAGTCAGAACTCCGGCGTCCCTAGAGCATCGGGTAGAACTCCGGCGGTGGTCGAGAAGGAGTTTCTTTCCTTCTATCCTTCTCTTCTTCTTCTCATCATCTTATCCTCTTCTTCTTGTTTGGTCCCCTCTCAAGAGAAATGAGGGGTCTATTTATAATCTCATGGAGTGGCATGGCCTGTAAATATGTGAGAGATCAAGGGTAAATGGGGAGTGGTTGGATGGACGGCTGATATTGAATTCTTTGATAGTGTACCGTTCGTTAGACGTTTGAAGTTCTTAATGATGTCAAAATTCGGCGATCTTGGGCTCGTTGGATTTTATCTCGTCGAGCCGCTCGATTCGACTATAAACACGTCATGTTTGGAAACTGTTTGGTAACTCAAATTGTGGTTTGAACTTTCTAACAGTGCTTCGGGTCCTTGATTTGGACTCATTTGGGCTCGGATTGAGTTGAATTTGGTGTCGTTGGGTTCGTACTTCCGAGACACTCAATTTGACTGTAAGTTTGCTGAAATTGGAGTTCATGTGATCCCAGATTTAATCTTTTGAAATTTTTCGCTTGATTTTGCCTTGATATTCGTGCCCAATCAAGATATTTTTTTGATGATATATTAAGTATAATATTAAATTTTGCATAGTGTTCTAATAATGATTAATTAGCACATGCAAATTTAGGGCCATGATACATGCTGAACTATATTATTTGATTGGATATAATTATAATTTTATATTATTGTAAAATCAATTAGCTTCTTAAATATTTTTTCAAACACATGAGGTTATTCTCATGCAATTATTTTATTTTTAACTTTAGATTTCCTTAGGGATGTCAACAATTGGGTCAAGTTTAGGTCCAGCTCAAAATTGAGTCATTTTGAACCCATACAACCCATTTAGTAAACGGGTCAAATCTCGAACATGAACATGACCCACCCCTAATCTGGTTGATCCAACCTAATCCGATAACTTTTTTATATTAACTTGCCAAGGCAATATATATATATATATATATATATATAACTTTCCAATTCTCAATTAGCAGGTCAAATTCAGGTCATTTTTTGGATGTGAGTCGACCTGACCCTACCGATAATAAAACAGGTCTAAAAATAAGACTTTGAGTTTGATCTGTTTATTAAATGGGTCCATCTAAATTTATATTTTATGATTAGGGCCCGATCAAATTATCGGGTCAAGTCTTTTTCTAACATTTTTATATTTCCTAATATATAATTTAATTTGATGTTTATCATTAGTCCAAAAGACAGATTTTCTCCCATCACTCGCCAAAATAAATGATGTCTTGCCGATGGGCGGATGGGCCTTAGAAAGTACGGTGATTTTCTGATTTGAAGAGAGGGTGGGGGAACATGGCATCACTGATAATGAGTAGGTGATTAGTCATGGCCTGCAAGAGTACCTCTGTTTCTCTATAATGTGGGCTATAAATTTAGTGTTTGGGTCTAACGGATTACTAAAATTTTATATGAAAAAGCATTACGATCATTTCCAACCGAACTCTATATCATCGTATACCATCCGTCATTTGCTGCATTGGAACTCCACATCTCAAGAGAAATTCTGGTAGGTGAACAGTGCGACGTCAATATTGATGTCGGATTGTTCATCTACGCAGAAAAAAATTGACTACGGGATTTGCCGAAGAAATGCAGGAAAGAGGAGAAAAACGAGCCAAAGATGATTACCTTCATAGGAAGCGCGTGAAAGAAGAAGAAATGAAGTTCGATTGGAGAAGAATGAATGCATTTTGAAGTTTTACTGCATTTTGGAGTGGAAAATGGGTTTTTCGGTTGGAGATGCTCTAAATCATATGCAAAGTTTTGGATGGGAAAGAAATCAAGAAAGGCGTTCTTAGTTATTCTTAAAGTCAAATTTTTAGTACAAAAATTGTAATTTTTTAACAAAAAAAATTATTTAAAAAACAGTAAGAAAGCCCTCTCAAACAAAAGAGATTATCATGTGCGGAGTACGGACATAAAGAATCATTCGGTTTTGTAACTACGAACAGTAAAAGTACAATTATTGTTCACATTTCCGATTTTACTGTTTACAATTACAAAATCGAACGATTCTCAGCGTCCGGACTCCGCATGTAACAATCTCTTCTCAAACAAAGCCTATATCAATACCTTTAATTTTTAATTTCAAAATCATATTTCTTAATTTTTGGGAGTATTGTGAGAAAAGGAACCTCCTTATATGCTGGCACATTCATTGCAATCTTCTCAATTGTTGTGCTAATGTCTTCCACCTTTTTTGGTCTAAGTATTGACATAGTGCTTTATCTTTATGATTCATGAAGCAAATCACTATGCATAATAGGTGTTAGCTATCTAAGATTCGTGGTATTAGAATTAGAGAATTTATTATCTTAATTTTTTGCAGAAAGCTCATAAAAGGGGGAAAATCTCGGGTCATGATTAAGTTGAAATGATTTCACCAGTGTTTGTCATATGTTCCAAATTATGTCCTTCCAGGTGATTGGTGAAAGTGTTGATATACCATATTAGATATAAACTATATATAAAAAAATTATGGTGAGAATTGAAAGAGCTTTATGCCATGAGAGTCATCTTCATGAGATTGTTTGTTCTTTGCTTGATCATTCTCATTTGAGGTGAGGAAACCAAAGATCAAGAAATCAAAACTAAATCATGGTGCTGATATTGAGAATAAGGGTAGTTGTTAACATCGTACATCGACCTTGTAAGCAACAGTGGCATTAAAGTTATTGGTGAAAAAATGTGGCAAAGTCAGAGGGTATCAATATAGTCATGCATCAATGATTATAGGGTCATAGTCAAGCAACAATTGATGAAGAAATGTGGCTTAGTAATGGTGATAAAAAAATCATAGTTAGGATGACCATAGTCGGGTTATGCTAGTTAGAGGAGCATAGTCGTGTGACTATGATAAAAAAAAACATAGTTGAGCAAACTTGTTCAAAGGATAGTAATTGATAGATTACAGTTGATTGATAGTTTGGAGGGCTTTAATAAAGCAAATGTGGTCGGTGAATATTTGTCTGGCAATGATGATGAAAGGAATGTATTTGAGTGGTTGAGATCAGAGGATTGTAGTCGCATAATGGTGGTTAGAGAACTTTAATTGCACAATGGTGGCCAGAGGGCCGCAGTCAAGCGACAGTAGTTGAAGAACAAAAGTCAAGCAACATGCAAATGATACTGGTCAATGATGTTTCAACAATTCTGCTCGGGTGTATCTCTAAGATTCTTCAAGCATTTGACCCTCTTGAATCTCAAGCCAAGGTTTAAGGTCACTTTATGTAGAGAGTAGAGATTGATGAAGAAATGTGGCTTAGTAATGGTGATCGAAAAATCATAGTTATGAGGACCATAGTCGGGTTATGCTAGTTAGAGGAGCATAGTCGTGTGACTATGATAAAAAAAACATAGTTGAGCAAACTTGTTCAAAGGATAGTAATTGAGAGATTACAGTTGATTGATAGTTTGGAGGGCTTTAATAAAGAAAATGTGGTCGGTGAATATTTGTCTGGCAATGATGATGAAAGGAATGTATTTGAGTGGTTGAGATCAGAGGATTGTACTCGCATAATGGTGGTTAGATAACTTTAATTGCACAATGGTGGTCAGAGGGCCGCAGTCAAGCGACAGTAGTTGAAGGACAAAAGTCAAGCAACATGCCAATGATACTAGTCAAGGATGTTTCAATAATTCTTCTCGGGTGTATCTCTAAGATTCTTCAAGCATTTGACCCTCTTGAATCTCAAGCCAAGGTTTAAGGTCACTTCATGTAGAGAGTAGAGATTTATAATTTTGATAGTATCATTTCCCGTAAATATAATAAAAATTTGAAACACTCTATTGGCCTATTCAAATCAATTCCCTCAATCATAGATCATTATTTCAATATTTAAGTGACTTAATGATGTTGAAATTAGACAAACCTATGCTTTAAAATCCTAACCCAATTGCTAAATTGCGCTGGGCTGGGTTTGGATCAAACCTAAAACCCAAAATCAACCTATAACTAACTTGATTCCCATCCTGCACAACACTGCGACTTTGTGACCTCGACCAGCGCTCACCCGGTGGCCCCTAGTTCACATCAAAACAAGGTTCGACCTGAATTTGACCGCAATCCATTTTTGACACCCCTAGTTCACATCAACACCACCTTCCTTATTATAGATAACTTTAGACTTTTAGTAAAATAGTTTAGGCTTAATTAATCTGATGGGGTATACCAAGGGCTACTAGGTCTAGAGGGTTTGTATTTTCTTCTTTTCAATGAATGTTGGTTAATAAGGTTGATTATATGAATATTTTTTTATTCTTTGGATGCTCTTTCTTTCTCTCTCCATGTCTAAAATCTTTTGTAGATCATGTTCAATCTCAGCTATTTTTCCTAATATATATTGATCTCATGACAATAAAAAAAAAGTAATAATAGGTCTAAATATTTTATATTACAATATTCTCCTTAGCGTTTGTTCGTAGAACAAATAAAAAATAAATAATTTATTAGAATATTATTTTTTATTATTTGATTTTCATGAGAAATTGCTAAGCATTTAATTTCCCGGGCAGAATTGCAGCTCGGAGCTTTAAATTCCATCACTCGTTTCCTGAGTGCTCCCACTCTCGCTTCATCTTTTTCGTAACCCCTCACCTGCTTGTCTCTTGGAATTTGTCCAAAGCTCTTGTTCGCACAGAGGGACTAAACCTAAACCCTAAAGAGCTCCTCCTGCCTTTCCTGCCTCCGCCAAGAGAAAATTATAGATTTTGTGGATTGATGAGGAAACGGAGATCCACCGGATCCAAGAAACGCCGATACAGAAAACAGTAACGCCATTATTAATTTGGACTTCGAGGTAAAACGACCACCTTCCATTATTATTTTTGTTTATTAGGTTAGGAAAAAGAGGAGCACGGCCTCGCTCCCCAATCCCATTCACGTGGTACCATTGGGCTCCATCTTCAATGGATCTAGGGTTTTGGAAGGGTTAGTCGCGAGGAAAAAGAAATGGGATCAAAGTTACCGTATTTGATCTATTTTGGTCTGTTTCTCTTATTCCCATGTTCTACTTTCTCCGGCGATGTGGATGCTCTGCTTTCGCTCAAAACTGCCCTTGATGCGCACGACCGCCTTCCATGGCGAAGGGAATCCGGCGACGAGCTCTGCACTCGGTGGTTGGGAGTTAAGCAATGCTCCCCTGACGGCAGAGTCATAAAGCTTGTCCTCGAATTCCTCAACCTAACCGGAACCCTAACGACAGAATTACTAACCCCTCTCGACCAACTTCGCGTCCTCAGCTTCAAATCCAACTCGCTTTTCGGCGAAATTCCTAACCTTTCCGTTTTACCCAACCTCAAATCGCTTTACCTCAATAACAACCTCTTCTCCGGTCAAATCCCTGTCTCCCTCGCCGCCATCCACCGCCTCAAAACCATTGTCCTGTCCAATAACCGCCTCTCCGGCAACATTCCCACCGCCATTACAAAGCTTCCTCGACTCTACTGCCTTCAGCTACAAACCAACCGCCTTACGGGAACTATCCCGGCACTTAATCAACCCACTCTCCGTTTCCTCAACCTCTCAGGCAACTACTTGTCCGGCGAAATACCGGTGACGCTCGCATTTTCTCGCTTCAACGAATCATCTTTCCTCAACAACCCCGGCCTCTGTGGCGCACAAATAGGGCGTCCCTGTTCTAAAAATGAAATCTTTTCGCCGTCCCCCACCACAAAGGCCCCGCTCTCTTCTTCCCACCATCGAAACAGAAAGAGGCTTGCAGCGATCATTGCCGGTTCGGTCGCCGGTTTCTTGGTTCTTCTTATATGCTTGGGTTTGGTAGTCCTTATGGCTTCCATGAAAAAGAGGAATGCTGGAAGAAGCAAAGCCGTTGATGGAAACGGTGCCATTGATCCCGCCGCCGATATAGCAGCCCCCGCCACCGGCGGCGGCATCGGTGGCGGAAAGGTCACATTTTCATGGGAGGGAGAGGGGTTAGGGAGGCTTGTCTTTGTAGGGGGAGTGAGTGGACTATATAGTTTGGAGGATTTGCTCAAGGCTTCGGCGGAGACATTGGGGAGGGGAACGGTGGGGAGCACTTATAAGGCCGTGATGGAGTCTGGCTTCATTGTGACAGTGAAGAGGTTGACGGAAACGGCGATTGCCCCGGCAGCTCCGGAGGAGTTCCGGCGACGGATGGAGGACCTTGGGCGGCTGCGCCACCCGAATCTCGTGGCTCTCCGGGCCTACTTTCAGGCAAAGGAGGAGCGGCTGCTTGTCTATGATTACTTTCCGAACGGGAGTTTGTTCTCTCTCATACATGGTAATTGCATAAAACATCCCTTTTTAAATTGTTTTTCATTTGTATTTATTGATTTTTTTTCTTTTAATTATTTTCCAAAAAATATAATGCCATCTTCAAATTTATAGTAGTTTTATTAAAAATTCGTAAAATTTTTAAATTATATTAGTCTTATTGAATTTTTAATTTATTTAAATATTTGTATTTTTAACTAAAAAAGGTGGTGCGCAGTGCGAAATGAGAGGGTTTAACATGTAAATTGTCTTTTGCAATTGATGCATCGGCGAGTTTTATTTGTAAAAGCGATTGTCTTTCGACAATCGCTGGAAACAAGTCATAGTCAGGCAGCTTCTTTTCAGATCCGATCCAAGGCCAAGCCTGACCGGTCGAACCGTGCCACGTGTACGGCCCCAAGGAGTCGGCCCCACCGTAGAGCAGTAGTGTGGTCTCTTTCCCCATTGGTGACTCGTGCTTAGTGGGTCCCGTTCGTCGAGTAAACGGTCCAAGTGGACGCGGTCATCTTTTATAATTTTGATGGATTAGTATTGGCATTTAGCGAAAAATGCGGAATCAATTGAATTATTAGAGCACACGCAGGAGGAGGGATTTGCAAAAAGAAGAAATCCGATGGTTTTCTTTGCTTTTTGTTTTTTTGTTTGGGAACCATTTTAGTTATATTGTTCGCTTCCTTTCCTCATTGGAAGCCTTGTTGAATTCAAATTTCTAATACTAAAGCCAATAAAATAATTGGGTTTTTGTTTGTGGATCCATAAGAACTGTCTTATTTACTGAATTCCCCTAAGTAGAGTTCTAAGTTAGTTGAGCCACTTCATTAGATTGCTAGAACTCGATCCGATAATTTGTTTATGAGTCTAGCTCATTGAGCCACGAACTTAAGCTCGAGCTCGAGTGTTAGCTTGATAAGGCTTGATCGGTTAGAAACTCGAAATATCTAAATCACTTTTAGATATTTTGAGTTGAAAAAGAAGAAGCACGGTAGGGTTCTCTATCCATTTTTTTAATAAAAAGAAAATAAATCAAGTCGCCTCTTCAATGGACAACTATGCCTACTATTAATTTTTTAAACATGTTTAATCCCTTAATTAGTTAAAAAATTCCCAAATGTATTTCTTGAACATTATGAAGATTTTTTTTTTTGTAAATATTTTATCTCTGCAAATAATTATCCCTAAATAGTCTACTCAGAATTATTATATTAAAATATATTTATTATTGTGTGTATTCTCAACTTCAGCATGAAGCAATTTATGTTTATTTGTATTCTTTTTAAGCTTGTGTCATAATTGATTATAGATTTGTTGCTAATGGTTGTGTTAGAAAATTTACAATTTTTTTTTATTGGCTTATCACGTATTTGGCCTATGTTTTTATTTATTTATTTAATTTTTTACATTTTTTTTGTCTTATGTTATGAAAGGTAGATATAAACCTAAAAATATTAAAAATAGCATTTTTTAATTAGATTTAAATGAGAATTTGACTCTTAATAGAACACAATGGAGAAAAAAGATTCATGTCACCGATCCCACTAATGAAATAAAGGCTTAATGTTATTGTTGTTATAGCTTATCACATACGTTCAATAAACATGTAACAAAAAAGAATGCTGATGATATCATAATTTTTATGTATATATTTTTATATGATTTAAATATGAAGATGCTATATAAATAAATATAAAGATTTATTTATTTGATATATAAATGTTTAAAAATCTGTGGTGTATATATAAAACCCTCATTTAAAAAAAAACCTCACAAATCCTAAATTTTCAATATTTAGAAATCTGTCGGCAGAAAAGCTTCAAACAAGTATTGCAAGCGTTCAGGCGACAATCCTGCCTCTGAAAAGTACGGTTTTTTTTTTTACATTACAAACCCTCTGGTTCTGGACCACACTGGTTTGCAGATTCCTGTTGTCTTTTCTTCCTCCCCTCTGAACATAACAAATTCCAGAAAAGCCCTGTAAATAGACATAATTGTTAAAAACCATCAAAGTTTTATTATAATTTCATTAACTTTTTTTTTATTCCCCCACATAAATATGCAAACATTTATTACTTGGCATGTTATATTTGTTATTACAGATCAGATTGTTCTAACAGAGTATCAGAATTGATTGTGCTGAACCGTTTCTTTGATCAATTTTATTGCTCTATCTCAGCTTGCTGAGTTTAATGGAACTTGAACCACAGGTTCACGGCCGAGCGGATCAGGGAAGCCTCTTCACTGGACTTCTTGTCTTAAAATTGCAGAGGATGTGGCGACAGGTCTTCTTTATCTCCACCAATCTGGAGCCATTCATGGTAATCTCAAGTCCTCAAATGTTCTCCTCGGCCCGGAATTTGAGTCTTGTCTCACAGACTTCTACCTGCTCCTCCATTCCCCGGACTCCGACTTCTCCTCTTCTTCCTCCTCCTCTCTCTTCTACCGTGCTCCTGAATGCCGCAACCCCCATTGCTCCTCCTTCTCCCCGGCCTCCGACGTCTATAGCTTTGGCGTCCTCCTCCTCGAGCTCCTCACCGGCAAAACTCCCTTCCATGACCTCATGGATCAGCATGACGCCGAAATCCCTGCTTGGGTCCGTGCGGTCCGTGATGAGGAGAAGGAAACTGGTGGGTCCGTAGACGACCCTTCGGCATCGAGCGGTGGTGATGCGGCGGCAGAGGAAAAGCTCGCCGCATTGCTTGGGATAGCGACTGCTTGTTTGGCAAGGGACCCGGAGGTGCGTCCGGCAACAAAGGAGGTGGCGAGGATGATACGGGAGGCAAGAGCAGAGGGGGCGGCATCAGTGTCTTCGAATAGCAGTGGTGGTGGTGGTGGAGGAGAGAATAACGAGCACTCGCCAGGGCGGTGGTCGGATACTGTGCAGAGTTTGCCGAGGGAGTATGGTTCAGAGCATCTCAGTTTTGCAGAGAGGAATTGATTCCAATTTGGGAAGTTTACCGCTGGGAATTTGAATTTGAAATGGGAGGAGAGCGTTGGCGGGATTAATATTTAACGGTCAAATTAATTAAAAATGTTGAAGTGGGCTTTTATTTTCGTGATTTGTAGAGTTTGATGTAAATCTTTTATTGGAATTTAGTCATGGAAATGTGATCCTTTTGTTTGAGTTGATGGTGAAACTTTGATTTGGAAGTTATAGAAATCATGGATTAATATTTCCGATTAGTGCTACAAATATAGGAGAAAATATGGGTGATCAGAAATAAAATTTATTTCAGAGGTATGTCATGTAAAATGAAAAAAATGATGCGTTGATTTCTAAAAATTTTAAAGGTTATTATTAAAGATCATATGATTAGCACATATATATGTTGATTACTCATATATTGGAATTTTTTTTATTAATGACAAAATCAAGAGAATGTACTTTGGTGTATGCTTTTTGTTGATGACATTCTTCTTGTTGATAAGACTAAAGAAAGAGTTGAAGGTAAACTTGAATTATGGAGGTCAATCTTAGAGTCCAAAGGTTTTTGATTGAGTAGATCTAAAACTGAATATATGGATTGTAATTTTAGTAGTAATAGACCTAGTGAGGCAATTGTGACTTTGGACGATTAAGTCATCAATAAGAGTACACGTTTTAGATATATTGGATATATTGTTCAGAGTGATGGTGAAATAGATGAGAGTATTATCATCAAAATTCAAGTTGGATGGTTGAAGTGGAGGAATGCATCGGGCTTGTTGTGCGATTGAAAAGTCCCCATCTTATAGAGAAAATTCTAGAAGATGGTGGTGAGACCTACAATACATTATGGTGCGGAATGTTGTCCATTAAAAGAGAAGCATAATACTAAGTTAAATATTGCAGAGATGAGAATGCTTAGGTGGATGAGTGGCTTTACCATTAGAGATATGATACGAAATGTTTTTTAAAGCATATATGTTAAAAGTTGGAGTAGCTCCAATGGATGATAAGATTAGAGAGAGCCATCTTAGATGGTTTGGTCACATTAAACGGAGGCCTTCCGATGACCTGGTTAAGAAAGTTGAGGTTTTAGATTTGTCTTATGTTAAGAAAGGTAGAGGTAGACCTAAAAAGACTTGGTTAGAAAATATTATAAATGATATTTCTTTAATAGATTTAAATGAGAATTTGACTTTTAACATGACACAATGGCAAAAAAGGATTCATGCAACCGACCCCACGTAATGGGACGAAGGCTTAATGTTGTTGTTGTTATTGTTGTAATGACAAAATCCAGATTATAAAATTGGACCAGATAAATCGGGGAGAGATTCATGATTTGATGGTTTGACCAAGATTGAATTGGAGTTGAATCGAATGATATAATAAATATTAATTAATAAATAATAAAATTAACATTAGAATTATGATATTATTTTAAATAATTGACTTAAAACTAAATAAAATATGAAATTATGAAGCATAAAATGTTCACAATTAAATAAAAAAAGATAAAATGTTTGAGTAATGGACCTCTTCTTCATGTTATTAAATATAACTTTTTCATGAAATCTTTTAAGCTCTTTAACACTTTAACCTACAACAATATTCTTTTGCTAGTTAATCAACTTTTTCTTTACATACGCAAGCAAATCTCAACTTAAAGAACAAGCCCTTTGTTTTGAAGATTGATTTGAAACAAACAGCAAATGTAACCCAAGCATGACGACCTAAATTGTTAAATTTTAGAATCAAACAATTCTTTACGATGCGGCATGTCCATTTGTTTCACGGTTCTACTATGGAGTTTATCTTTTTTTTTTTTTTCTTTTTCTGATCTTGTGCAAAGCAGCATTAGTGATAAATCCTGTAGAGTTTGATGTAAATCTTTTATTGGAATTTAGTGATGGAAATGTGATCCTTTTGTTTGAGTTGATGGAGAAACTTTGGTTTGGAAGTTATAGAAATCATAGATTAATATTCCGATTAGTGATACAAATATAGGAGAAAATATGGGTGATCAGAAATAAAATTTATTTCAGAGGTATGTCATATAAAATAAAAAAAAAATGATGTGTTGATTTATAATATTTTTGAATATTACTATTTAAGATCATATGATTTGTTATACTTCAATTTCAAATCTTGTGCTAAGCAGCATTAGTGATAAATTCAGACGGGTCACGTAGACCAATTCCAGGTTGAACCAATTTGTCTGATCCAATTTTTAAACTTATAAAAGAAATAGTAAATAATTTTATATTCATAATTTGCTCATAAATAATTAAGAATTTATATCATTTACTCTATATTCCTTCAATTCAAATAAAGTCTTAATAACACTCAAATTTTGACAAATTTTAAAGCATATCATCAATGAATAAGTAATACAACCCTTCTTTTTCTTTTTAAATATTATTCTTAAAGAGATTATTATAAAGTTCAAGTAATGTAGTAAGATAAAGTTAAAAAACTACTAATGCACAAAGTCAATGCAAAAAACAACATACCTTACATATGAATACTAAAAATACTATTCGTAGAGCATAAGAGAATTTATTTTCTTGAATACATAATCTACTACATAGTTAACACAAAAACTAATATGATCTCTACAAAAAAGTTTGTTGTTAAAACAATACCTACAAAAAATTTTCACAATATTCATAACAATTTGTAAATTTTATCTTTTTTCACAATAAATTTTCAATCATTTTCAAGAACTATTGCAGCCATTCAAAAAAGAACCCAAAGGAAAACAAGAAACTGAGAAGTTACACAAAAGTATGTTCATGGTTGAAGCAGTAAATATAATTATGATCAGTCCAAGCTCCAAGACCGAAAACGCGACAAAAATGCTCATATATTTACACTAAGGCTTAGTTTGGGACGGCTTTCTTCCTGCTTCTTAAAACAGTTTTTTTGGTACAAAAAATTTAATTTTTCTATTAAAAAACGGTTTTTAGCGGCAGTAAAAATGCTGTCCAAAAACGAAACCTAAGAATGTAGAAGTGGCTTTACGCTAAGCCTTAGAAGAGCATGCCTGCTTGGCCCTTTCTAAGGCTTTCAAGCGATTTGCTTCCATCCGAGCCCTCTGCTCCTCTGTGATCTGAATCTTTCTAAGCTCCCTTTGCTCGCTGTGTGGCCTATGGTTAGATGATTCCACAGAAATTGCTGGTATAGGATCAACACCAGATGCAGAAATAGCTTGGGGAGTTTCGGATGATTTCTGCTGTGGTAGGCCTCCTGAATCCTTTGGAAAAAAAAAAAAACAAATTTAATACAATAAACAAATCAGAACATCACATAAATTTCACTTGTAGGATGGAAAATAGATTGTTGATGTGTGAAGGCTTACATCAGTTGCCTTTTGATAGATTTCGTTGATCATTTCTTCTTGTATATGGTCTCCACCATGGTCTTCTAATGGTGGATCTTCCATAACAACAAGTGGTTCTTCCACATCCATATGTTCATTTTCGCATTGCTCTACAAATGAGAATGAAACTTTGTTGAAAAGAAGAGTCTACAGTGTGAAAATAATTGAAGAACAATATACATATGCTTTGGTTTGAAAGAGTAGGTTTATTGGATCCTTGGGAACCAGTACAAGTACCGCTGGCCTATAGAACGAGAATGTTGTGATGTCGTCTAGTAGAGCTTACAAGAAGGTTACTCGGAGCCTAGAAATAGGAAGGTACTCGTGCAGACAACTAAGTCCTTTTCAATAGAAAGGAATAACCAAAATGACCCAACTAACTCTGAAATATCAATGATCTTATCATCCAGCAAACTGGAGATGGACAACCAAGGTCACGACCTTACCAGCCCCATAGGTTTACTAATAAATGAAGCCCCTCAATCTACTTTTTTTTTCTTCCTGATAAAATAAACATAGCCTAATCGTCACTATCATGATATGTTGTTGATATTGATTGAGTTTGAAAGAGTCAAAGACTACAACGGAATTCATTCATAAACAATTCTTCACCCCAATTACCTTCATTACCAAAGCCCCACGATTGTTTTCAAAGGCACTAATCATTTCCGGAGAAGTTTACGAATGTCAACCACTACACAAGCCTCGTCTAGTTAAGGCGAGCAACAAGCGGGGGAGAGTCAAGTCAAGCACTAATTAGTTGGAGTGGGAGGCTAGTACTTAAACTAGGGTTGCTTCTTAGCCCTAATCTTGCATTTTTCTACAAGTGCTAGTTGTAGAACACTAGAACGCCTTCCCTCCTCTAATTTAAAAAAAAAAAAAAAATAGTATTTTAGTATGATAACATGGTCAAGAGAGTAAGGAACATCGGTGTAAAAGATTGAGGGGGATCAATGCTTGCATTCCGACAAGTGTTTTTTTTGCAAGTGATGGCAAAAGCTAAAATATACAGCATAAAAATTCTTCAGCAAAGAAATGGTAGAAAGTACTAGTACAAGCGGATTTGGGATGGCATCAATCAAGGAATACAAGCACAACCAATAACTCAATGGTGAAAAGGGCAGGTCCAGTTATTTAAAATTAAGTTAGAACTTTTGAAAAATAAAACAAAAATTTGTTATCAATAACAAGAGAACGAAAATAGGATTGAAGATGAATAGACAAAGCAGATGACGAATGATTGCAACCACCATAAAGCTGAAAAACAAGAGGTACAAGTTTTTCAGGTGAATAACCAACACTGCAAAAACAAAGAAATCTAAATGCAGTCATTAATCTTGTCAATCTCATTAAAAAAAAAAAAACAAAAGAGGATTGTATTTGGTTCAAAAGGTAAACAAAAGCCAACCCACCATAATCGTTTATAGAGATCTACTGAAAATGAAAGCGGAATGAGCCATAAGGATGAAGAGCATGCTAAAGTACCTGGTCCTTTATCTGGATCAACTAGCTCAACAGGTGGTTCATGCAATTTGGTTGGATCTCCTCCTCTGGAAACTCTTTCCTTTAATTCATCAATGCATCTCTACTCGAACAGACAAGTTTAATGTACAGGAGAGATGATAAATAGAACTAATGAGCTTAAGGCTTCTTTTGGGACGGCTTTTTTATTGCTTCTTAAAATGGAGTTTTAGTTAAAACAATTTAATTTTTTAACGAAAACTCCGTTTTAACAAGCAATAAAAAAGCTGTCCCAAACGAAACTTAAGGTTCATTTGAGACGGCTTTCTTACTGCTTCTTAAAGCAGCTTTCTAGTGCAAAAATTAAAATTTTTTATACTAAAAAGCTGTTTTAAGATGCAGTAAGAAAACCGTGCTAAACAAGGCTTAAATAACCAAAAACAATTCAAGGAAAGAACGAATATTAAAAAAAAATGGATTGCAGTATTTTCTTTTTATGTGTCAATCCTTTCATAACATCGTTGGCTTCTAAAAGATACACTCAATGTATTATTTAAAAGTTATGTTCATTTCTTTTTAATTAATTTTGATCGTCCAACCAAGACCAGAGTATAATTGAAAACATTATAATGTACATTTTATCAATTCATCTGCAGTATAGAAACGTAAACATACGCAAAATACTCCATTGAAAGTTCGAGTCATGTTGTAAATTTAATAAAATAGTTAACTTGAAACTGATCAGGAATCACCAACTTATAAACTTCGGCAGATATTTAAAAAAAAAAAAAATCAAATGGAAGGTCAAACCAAGTGAGCAAAGGTGAAGAAATACCAAAGAAGAATAGGTCATCATGCCAGATGGATAATCTGGAGAAATTACTTACTCTGACACGTCTACTTGCACCAATTTGCTCAACCTTGCGAATAAATTGATCGAATGAGTAGTAAGGGATTAGATGAGAGTGCCATTCCGCATACATTCCTATGAGATTCCCGAGGTCACTGACCTGAAAAACTAAACAAATACATAATTATTTGCGCTGGAACAAATGACTTACAATGCACCATTTCTCCTGGAAATAGCTAAACAGGATTCACCGCTAACAACCATTCTCCAACGTTTATGTATAATGTCATTTTAGTGATAAACTGCATGAACAAGGCAGCAAGCAACAATGCAGGGCTCATAATCATATAAATATTCAAAACTCATTGGATTATTGATCAAAAATAACTATATAAATATTCATAACTCATTAGATTATCACTCAAATTTAATAGAATCATAACAGACTTGCTCCACCTCGAAGTTGACATGCTCATGATTGAATCAATTTAATTTGAAGTAGACTCATTCTATGAACATAAACCAAATTTACAAATTTTTAACTCAAATCATCTTGAAAGGCAACTCAATATCAATCATTCGTTGCTCATCTTGTACTTGGCATGAATAAAAACAAAATTGTACTTTTTTATGCTGTGGTAGACTGGCCTGAACTTGATTAGATATCACTCATACAATCTTATATCAATTAGCTGCAAGGAAGATATAAAGGGATTGTTTGGCTGCAAGGAAGATATAACTCAAGTAGGATTTAGTAAATCTTGTAAATCTGGATTCACTAAAACATGAGGCTGTTAAATCTTGATAACTGCTTGGCATGAAAGTCGTTCAGTTCAATTAAATCCTGAGATACTATTTGGCAAATTATTTTAGAATTTAAATCTGCTACTTGAAGTAGGATTTAAATAATAATATTTGATGAATAATTTAAAACATATTATAAAAGCACGACAACGAGAAATGATAAACAGGTAGCCAAGAGATAAACCCTATAAATATTTAAGAACAAAAAAAAAAAACCAATATTCTTTTATTTTCTTGAAGATGTAAAATGAATGATCAAATTGATTGATGACTTTGGGCCATCTCCTACAATCAGATTAATGTGATAGTTACCAATACACTATCAATAAAATTTTTTGGCAAATAATGAAGTTAATATCTTACTGTTAGGCCGGTTCACCCTAAACCGGCCCAAGGACCGGCTCAGGTGTTCTACTGGAGGTGGAAGCAGTCTGCCTCCATTGAACTGGCCCGCCCATAAGGGGGCCCACTTGTTCAAATTGATTTCAATTTGAAAAGGAGGGGGCGGCTAAGGCTTGGAAGGGAAATTAGATTAGGAAAACTTGTGTATTAAGGAGGATGAGAGGATTAGGGAGGATGATATTTTGAATTGATTGGAATTAGAGTTTCTTGGCGATTTGAGCTCTCTTGTCTAGAGATTTGAGAGAGATGATCTTCCTCTCGAATTGAGGATCAATTGTATCTTGCTTTGAGTTTTGCTTTGCTCGGTTTCCACCATAGTTGTCAATGGAGCAAAATAGCACGCGCCATGGCGCACGGCGCGGCACGATGCACCTATGGCGCCATGAACATGGCGAGGCGCATATGTTTAAAATAGCGCGCGCTATTTGCGCCACATGTGAGCCATGGTGCATGGCGCACGACGCAAAATAGCACGCCAAATTATTTTTAAATTTCATTATACTTATGAATATTTTTTACAAGAATTTACAACTTAACAGGTATGATTCTTATTGATTGCTACTTGATGTTTCACTAGCAACCATGGTTTAGAGGTATCCACCTCTTATAATTAAAAAAAAAAAAAAACATTTGGTGCCGCTAGGTACATGCTCGATATCGTTGTGTACATGCTCAGTACCGCTCGGTACATGCTCAGTACCGCTCGATACATGCTCCGTACCGCTATGTACATGATCGGCGTTGCCCCAGAAAACTCTTACAAATAAAATTTATTCCACTAGGTACATACTCGGTACATGCTCAGTACTACTAGCGGTATCGAGCATGTCGAATCCTGCCACGGGGCAACGCCCCCTTGGACCCCCGGCAACCCGGCATATTGTTGTATTCATTATCTTAAGTAATAATTGTTAGTATTAATCTGTTTCTTCATGAGTGCATGCTTTGTATAAGTTTTCTTCATAAGTGCGTGCTTTGATTGGGAAACATTGGACTCTATAGGACAGGAGGAAGGGGTGAGGACTTTAAATATGAATTCTTGTCTCTTGGATAGATTGTCTTTCATTTTTAATGATATTTTATATTCATGCTTATTATTTTATAATTCTTATATAGTTTGCGTCATGTTCAAAATGGCGCTAGCCGCGCTGTGCGCTATGCATAGGGGTGTAAACGAGTAGAGTCGAGTCGAGTTTTAGTATTATCGAGCTCAGCTCGTTACTCAGAAAACAAGCTCGACCTCGAGCTCGACCTCGAGTCGATCTCGTCAAACTATAAACGAGCTCAAGCCGGCTCGCGAGCTGCCCGATTTCTCATCCATCCAATTTTTTTTATTTTTTCCCGCCCATTTCTTAATTTTCCGCCTGGCATTCATCCAAATGAATTTTTTTCCCGCCTATCAATGTCTACCATCTTTTTTTTTTTTGAAATGACTGCCATATTAAAAAGTAGTCATAATTGTCCTTTGCATTTAATAAAAGCTGCATTCACTTGAAACGAGGCAATGAATTTATATGAATTAACATTAAAAGCAACATTTAACATTAAAAGCAAAGTTTGAATCTCATATTATAAGCCGACTATCATTAATTTCTTTAAAATACCCTAAATATTATAGTTTCGAGCTGGCTCGCGAGCTCACGAGTCGAGCCATGTCAAGCTCAAACTCGAGCTCGTTTGATAAAAGAGCTCGAGCTCCTGGCTTGATAAGCTCGGCTCGCGAGCTCGTTAACGAGTCGAGCTCGAGACAGCTCGCGAGCCGGCTCAGCTCACTTACACCCCTAGCTATGCATCATGGCTCCAAAGGGACCTTTGCGCTATGGTGCGCTATTCGCCATTAATAGGTATGTTTTCCACTATCGCAGTTTTTCTGGTTTTTCTTCCTATTTTTAACCAATTATTGCTAGGGTTGCTTGCAAACTCAAGTAAATCCGATATGATTACTAGCGAACTCAAGTATTTCCTATCACTTACACATCCATCACATATGTCAGTGGCAATTGCATGTATGAGTGCATCTCCATGAACTCCATCCTCAATTGTTATGTGCATAAGATATCATCGACTGCCATCTCACGGTCTCACCCCACTAGGTATAATGTTCCATTTTAGTTTGAGACATGTGGAAGTATATGTCATATCCATGATTGCAACTAATTAAATTGTGTAATACCACCTAAGTAATCTCGATATCAGCATTGACACTAAGTAAAAATTATCACATGTAAGTCAGTACTTGGAGTCTAGTTCCAAAATCCAAATATCAAATATTCTTTCTACTATGTTACGTAGTTGGGCATGACAATAGTTATACAACTCCTTTGATGTTGAGTATCTATGAAGTATTTCTCCACAATACTCACTTAAATAATATTTATCATCAAAATATTGTTATGCATTATTTTGAAAACTGGATAAGACCAACCAGTTTGATGACTTTGATCGATTCAATTGGTTCTACTGGAAACTGATCGGTTAGTTGGCCTAATTTTTTTCTAAAACTAATTTTGCATCAAACAGGAAAAAATTAATTCAAATCGGTTGTTCAACTGTCAAACTGTTAAACCAGTCCTAATTTTTAAGAACTAGTACGTTCAATTATTTGTTTCTTGTACATAATTAAATCAATTAGTTTAATAAATTTAAAATAAAATGATATTTTTAATAAATTTATTTAAATTAAAAAAAAAAATTTAAATTTTTATAATAATCATTCGTCAAATAAGCTTCAAGCATTGCCCAGCCATCCATGTGACTTGTTTACCAGTTCAAGCCAAAAAAATTATATAAACAATACTAAGGTTGTATTCAAGTGTTGTAAAACTAAATAACTAAAATAAAGTTCAAAATTCACAACATAAACTATATATTTTTAAACATAATTTTTAATGCAAATAATATTTATTTTTTTATTAAAATTTAAATTTTTTTAATTTTTATCTATTTTGCTACTTAATTATATAATACACAAATTATTTTTCCTCTAATTTTAAATTATAAATAATGCAGTATGAATGCATAAATGTCATTTTATAATGTAAACTTTATATATAATATATAGCTGTAAAGTATACATAAATATATAACACAAATTAAAAATTAATTATATTAAATATATAAATTTATATGTGAACTAAATTTATATTAGATGTGAATTAAAATTAATAATTGAGGATATTTAAATTTCAAATCATATAATATGTCATTTATGCATAAATTTTATTTATTTTTAATCACAATTTATTTTATTTCATATAACATGTTTCTGGGAAGGAGATGGATAGTAGATATGAAAGGATGAATGCTGATTTTGCAAGATGAGGGGCTTATTTTGAAAAAGGATATAGATACGAGCGCATAAGGGAGGATCGGGACACTTGAGGAGCACCACCCTTTCATGGAATGGGTGGTTATGGAGGATTCAAGGTAAACGAAAGCGATCCAAGAGTGAGAAAGTTGAAGATGCCCATTTTTTAGGGAAATGATGCACACGCGTGGATCTAAAAGGTGGAGGGGTATTTCACCATCAATGACTTGACGAAGGAGGAGAGGCTAACAACATCTAGACTATGTTTGGAAGGAAGGCCTTGGATTGATACCAATAGAGGGACATGAGACGACCCATATGGAGCTGGAGGGAGTTCAAGGATTGCTTGCAAGAAAGTTTTCAAACCAGCAAGAAAGGAGACTTCTACAAGCTATTTTTCTCCCTGACACGGGATGGTTCAGTGGTAGAGTACCAGGAGAGGTTCGAGTACCTTGCTAGCCAATTGGACCAGCATTCTGAGACGGTGTTAAAGGGGAACCTCATGAAGGGTCTCAAACTAAAAATCCATGCCACAGTTAGAGTGATGAGGCATGGATTTCTAGTGCAGCTGGTGGAGGACTATGAGGCATGGATTTAGAGTGATGAGGAATGGATTTCTAGTGAGACAGTGTTAGAGGGGAACTTCATGAAGGGTATCAAACTAGAAATCCATGGATAATGTTTCAGATGTGAGTAAAAGTACACCTCGGGGCAAAGGCGTAAAGACTAAACTCTTCAGGTCCTCACTATCTATGATGAGGAGAAAGCTGGGCGAGGTGAGAGTGAGGCAGTGGTAGATGAGGAAGAAGAACTGCATCTTGATATGACAGAGGTCTCCTTAAATTCAATGGTGGGATTCACTTAGAATCACATCAAAGAAGTAAAGGGAGAAATAGAAGATAAGGAAGTAGTGATTTTGATAGATAGTGAGGCTACTCACAATTTCATCTCCAACTAGGTCGTTGACAAATTGGGGGTAAGTTGGCAGACACAGGGCGTTATAGGGTAATGATGGGCACTGGAAAGGTGGAGATAGATAAAGGAGTGGTTCTAACCATACAGGGGTCCATGTGAGGGAAGACTTTCTTCCCTTATAGTTAAGAAACACTGATGTTATCCTGGGGATGAAGTTGCAACAAACCTCGGGGGATACCAAGGTGAATTGAGGAGCATTAATAATGGAGTTTGTAGTGTGAATGATGATTAGGGGTGATGCAAGGTTATCCAAAGTCATGGTGTCACTCGAAACCATGATGAGGACTTTATAGGAGGTGTGAGGTGGATTTTTGGTGGAGTTGCAAAGTGTAGGCTTCAAAAATTCGCACCCCAGCCTCCCTCGCCTTTTGGGAGGAGTTTTAACGGATTAGGTTTTGATGTAAATTTTCATAAGGCAAATTTGGATTGTATATAAGACACCTAGAGATTTCACCATCATTTTGCGAGGATGTTATGATTTGAGTCTTGGTTTCCTATAGGCGCAAGCCCCTATAGTTACTTACCCCTCCCGATCACAAGAAAGAACTTTCAATTAAGGCTGGTCGTCAAACAAATACATAAAAATATGTATTATTTGACATATAGTAGCAGCATGGATTTTCGTTGTTTGAATGTTTGATATTTAAAATTGAAAATTTCATCATCTTGCACTTAAAGCATATGGTGGGGAAATGGATGATAGATCCGATCAAGATCCCATGGTTCCATCATCCCGGGTCATCATGGTCCCTGTTTACTTAATCATAGAAGGTTGTCGACTCGACCTAATAGAAGGATCCTTGTTGGCAGCCATGGGTTGCGTCATCCCAAGGTGTCTTGTTGACCTGGGATGGATGTTTGTCTAAGGGGATAAATTTGAATCCACCTTAGCTAACATAAGGCTTTGTGCCCTATCGATTATATCCTATTAATTCATATCTCAAAATTTGATGTCATTGGGGAGCATACGGGCTCTGGCCATAACTATAATTTAGTGGTGTCGTTTAGCAGCGAATCACCCGGTTCAAAGGGCTCATATCATAACCGTTTACCTGCAATGTCATTTGGTGGCAAAACAACCGGTTTGAGGACACGTGCAATGTCCTTACTAGCATGAGATAGTTTGAGAATGAATTATAATTATATTCTCGACCAGACACTAGCTCTTTGTGAGCTGGAGTAGCTTTTAGATTTGTCCACCTTGGCAAACTGTTACGGAGTGTGAATGAATATTTTCTTTAGGCTCGATGATTAATTTCAATTTTAAATATTTTTAGATTTAGAAATTTTTAGATTTTTGAATTTCATTGGCATTTGAGAATTTGTGAGGCATTTTGAGTATTTGAAATTAACCCATCTGGTTGAGATTTAAGTTCAACATAGCCATCATCGGGGTGTCTTATGGGCATTTGTATTTTGCTTATTGAACCTTGTCAACTCTATTTATTGTCGACAGAGGATCGGGTTCAAGTCAGTTGTATGCTTTTAATAATGAATTTCTATTGTTATAGACCTTAAAGGCCTAACATAAACATATAAAACAAATATCTCGGTCAATACCGCGTCGTATATTCGTTTGATGGTTCGAGCCGTGTCATCTCTATCTACTCACATAGAATATTCGGGCTCGAGCTTGGGTTTATTGTTCGACCCAAACAACATCCCAAGATATCACATGTGTGCTCATGCCAAGCTCGTGAGGGCCCATGTGAGTATATGATTGCAAATGCGTTTCTTTGTGTTTGTGTGTATGCATATCGTAGTGCGCGTGCAGGGGCATTCTTAGATGTATTATAGGTCTTCTACAACAGCTCGTAAAAGCTTGTGTTTGTCGTAACCCTTCTATATTTGTTTGTAGGTGGTAAATAGAGTGCACTTGGCAGATTTGCGTGCTATTTTCTCAAAATTTGTGCACCGTCACCTTGAGATCCATGTCAATTTGCGCACGTGATTTTTTTGGGGCGAGATTACAATCAATATTGGGTATTGCCGACATTTTGGACACAAAAATGAAGTTTGTTTTGCTATCGAAAGTCGTGTAGGTAGCATGGGGCGTCGATTTCATATATCGATAGTCAATTTTGACTGTTTTCATCTGATTTGTCTGCAAGGGGATCCCTCTTAGGCGAATTCGACACTCTAATCACAACGACGTAGTCCGTTTGACAATCGAAGGTCGTTTGACCCTTCAAGTAACTTGCCAAGCCAGCGCACGTTGCTTAAATCACCAATTTTTTCCCACTTTTTCACATATCTTTTGGTGTAGGGGTCAACAAGTGGATTGATGAAATTAACTCCATTGGTTGACATGAAGTCATCTCCAACAAGCTCAATATCAATCTCGTCAATTGAGTCCTAACTAATTAAATGATTTTGTGTATTTTGAGCTTTTATGCCTAATGTAATGTTGTCAGCACAAATTTTCCCAAAAACATCTTACTGAAGGAATGGGTTCTTTCGAAAGCAAGCCATCTTAAGGTACTCCTACAACAAGTTATTAACAATAAAAGAAACTTTACAATTCATTCATGGTCTTTATAACTTCAACAAAAAATCATACATATATTATTTGTAAAACCTACATATTAGTGCACCATTCCATTTGTTCTGATCCAATCTAATTCAAGATAATCCACTAAATTTCTACATTTAAATCCTTCTGCAGCATTCTTCAGTTAAAACAATTGTGCAATACAAGATCTAAGAAACTCTCAAATCTTACACTAACCGTAATTATGCGGAAGAACAGTATGTTCATGCCAACTTCGTTTGAAATGAAGAAAATTGAAGAAACAAAATTAATCCAAATCATTTGTGGGTTGATCAAGAATCTCTGCAATCTTAATTCAAACTTTTTACTTCCTTAATTATTTTCCTTTACTCGAACTCCTAGCATTCAAAACATATGTAAGACAGAAACATTAGAAAGCGAAAAACAGATATAAGGGCATTAACCTCATGACCGCGGCCATGGTACTTGAAAGCCCGAGGAAAATGGCGGAGTACATAGCCGAGGCCATCATCAGAAAGCAATAAGTCTTGTGTGAGCTTTGGGCGTGACCTGGGAACCTTCTTGACAGCGGCGATGGGGACCTTAGCAGCCGATGGCTGCTTTAAATAATTGGTTGTGTTTGGCCTTGCATTAGAATTAGGGATAGGGTTGGAGTTTGTAGCGGACGAGGAAGGGCAATCTCGAGACCAATGACCTGGCCTACCGCACTTGAAGCAACCCGTCGGAGCCGCCGGAGTTCCTTCGGCGTTCGGCATCTCTCTCTCTCTCTCTCAGCACGTATGGATCTCGATTTCCATTCCTATGCTTAATTTGTTCGATTAAAATGGCGGGAAAACGTGGCGGGAAATTTTAGGAGAGTCCAATCTTTACAATTTTAACTAATTTAAATTTTTAATTGTTTGGAATAGTTTTGCTACTTTTTTTAAAGAAAAAACAAAAAAAGTACAAAATTTAATATTAAGATAAAATAAATTGCATCGGATATCCTCACACATTTTATATCAAAATGTGCTATTTTTTAGCATATATTTTTTATTTTCACGTATTGGTATTATCTCTCAAAATATAATTAAATCATCTAAAAAATACAATTAATATATTTGACATTCATAATAGTTTTTGTGAATGTCTAAAATTTTATTTGGACAATTTATAGTTGAATTTAAGGTATTGAGAGGACAAACTCATCAACACTACAAGTACTGAGATCCATCATCAAATGATATCAAATCAAGTAAACAAAACCAATGTAGAAACTTCTAGATATTAAATGAAGGACAAGTGTTCTTCAATTATAAAAAAAAAAAGAAATCATCTAAATTAATAAAACTAAAGTATCTATGTTGATTGTTAGAAATCCATGATAATACAATACTCAAGAAATCGATTCTTATAGGAGTATATACGTAATATTCAGTTATTATATATCAGTATTTTAATCGCGTGCTCAGCAACAGTGAATTAGTGCAAATTGAGAAATAACAAATAATATTTTTTTTGTTCTCTGGGCATTCTAAAATGTCAAATATATTCTCTATCCTCAATACTAATCTTTTGAAACTTGGGATTTTATAGCTCTTGGTGCAGTATACTCCCTCTAACTGTCACTGACAACTCTATGTCAGTCATGTTGTTGATCTTTCACTATATGCCCTGGATATTGTAATCCTCTATTTTTCATATTGCATGGATTATCCTACTCCAAAATTAGTTCTTCCCCCAAGACATCTCTATGGACAATCTATTACCTTGTGTCTTTGCTACCCACATAGAAAATATTATCCCGTTAGGAGATAACACATGTATGAATGTCTCTTTCATAATTAATACAATCAGTATTGGCTTGTTGCTTCTAATAGGTGTTATTGATTCCCTCCTCGAATCACCATATTTACTTCTCTTATCCCTGACACTTTATCTATCATTGTTTGATTCACTTTTGCTTATGTAACAACTCAAGATCAAATTTTAGAAGAATTTCCTATTTTAATATTTTCATTAATCAACTTGAACTTCTATGAATCTATCAATATAAATTAATCTAATGAAAGCAATTAAAAATTATAAACATCAAAATATAATTATATATTTATTCCTCAAAATTTATATACAATAGACAATAGTTCAATTCATTCATTTATCAGTCTATCTCTTAGTTCTTGACTACAAAAAAAAAAAAAAAAAAAAACTAAAAGAAATGCAAAAAAAAAGTACAACTTGAATCTCATATCTTTGATCACTCCAGTGTATCTTGTCCCCTTCTTGAAAAATATGTAAAACCACATAGTGAGTTGAGAGCTCAATAGATTACCAAAACCTACAACTAAAATTAATGATAGACAATATACATATTAAATAGCATGCATGTAATCATTTAATCACTATCAGTATGAACATATGACTTTTTATAGATATATAATAATTAATGAATCAATAACATGATCAATAAATATCAATAAAACTAGAGCAGTGATCAGCGACCAAGTGAATATATATAAGAGGTCAATAAACTCTATCATGTTTATACCCATTTGTTAAGAACAATTATATCTATCTCAATTAAAAAATATATGTCTATCATAGTTAAATGAATGGTGCGGAGTGTATGTAGTATGCATGTACATCATGTAAAACATATATTTCATATATACAATATATATTTGTATCAATTTATCAGTCTTATCAAATAATTATATCAGTCATAGCAAATATCTTATATAAATTATATCATATCAATTATATAATTTATAATATGTATATACAAGTATTGTAAGAAATGAAAATTTTAATATTCTATCAAAATACTCATATTGATGACATATATCACATACTAAAAGTTATGTGGTCGAAATTTTAAGAATATACAATTATCCACATTTTTTGATAATAAAAATATAAATTTTATTTAAAAAAAAATCCAAAAAATATCAAATTATTGAAATAAAAAATAGGATAATAATTTCTTATAATTGGATGAGAAAATATCCCACCAACATCGATGAAAATTACTCCACGGCTTCCAAATCTGACTTTCTCTTTTCTTTCTCCTCAAATCTCTCTAATACTCGATTTTTCTTCTCTATTTTGGCTGAATTGAAGGAAATAAAAAAATGTTTTAATAAATCTTAAATGTGGTTTAGGATATGTAGATTAAAATAATATAATATTATATATTTATCTAATGCATTTAGTTTTAAATACAAATATCATATAAATCATTTTATCTCTTCGATTTTAGAATTTCAAAAATTCTAGAAAAAAATATTCATAAAATAACCTATTATTTTAAGAAGATTTTGGTGAAATCAATTTGTAAAACGGACATATCACGGTCTCAAAATTTCCACTTGTACTAGCATGTATCAATTTCTTAAAGATTTGCATCAATGCCAAAAAATTATTATATTTTAAACACAATAATATATATCTTATGGCGAAGACTAATATCAATTTTTACTTATAATGACTCATAAATAAACTATTTGACTGATTAAATTTGAGATTATTACATATTCTTCTCATGTCATTGTCATACCCACAATCTCTTCACTATAATTTCAAATAAAAAATAACAAAAAAATAATAATTTTTAGTTCTCTGGACATTCTAAACTGTCAAATATATTCTCTATCCTCAATACTAATCTTTTGCAACTTGAAATTTTACAGCTCCTTTGAATAGTTGGGATTATAGTTTATGAAATAATTGTAAATGTTTATCTTCCTCTTCTTCCTTCTAGTTGGCTTGCTTTGTGTATCTCTTATTACATATGTTATAATACTAGCCAACTGCATAATACTATTTAACAGTACTAACAGTACTGGGGATGTATTATATTGTTGAATTGATGCATCTTGGTATGGCAAATCCATTTCAATTGTTCACATGTACAATTTTGTCTAAACATTTCATACAATGCAATTAATTATATATGCAACATAATGCACCTTAATATCAACCCAACCTTACCCAATTCATAGCCAATTCATACAACTCATGCAATAATTCAATTCTTCTAATAATAATATTTTGAGACCATATTTGTTACGCACTAGAATCTAAATTAGAAATAATTGTATTTTCTATCCTTTTTAACAACTATGGCTATCTAATTTTGTTCACTAAAATAAAACTAGCGTAAACAAACTATTGATAAAAATGTTAATAAACATTTGTATTAATTGCCCGAAAATCATATACACAAGCTAGGAGTCATACAAATACTACATATTGTCTGCCCACTATTGAATTTAAAAGATAACCAAAATATAAAGTAGCAGTAAAATCTAAAGGATCATGTATCTAATCAATCTCATGCTCTAGAATATTTTTCATGACCTAAAATCATTTATATATATTGAGCTTATAAAGCCCAATAGGTAACTAAAATTTTGCTACTTAACTCAAAACACAAAAAGGAAATAGTATGCATGAATTCATTCAGTTCATAATAGTAACAGTCAATATGATCATGAATCTATATAGAAATAGTAGAACACATGCAATAACAATATATAAAGCCTATAAAATAGAATATTATGAATGTCAAAATGATAAAGGTATAACTAGCCATTATTAAACTAAGTGTCTTAGCAGTGCTATCAATTTAGTAAAAAATGCATATAAATCAATAAAACTAAAGTATCTATAAAGACTATAAAAACCCATGACAATGTAATACTATTAAGAAATCATATAGGCGTATATACTTACTAAATTCAATTATTTTATATCTGTATTTTAATCACGAGATCAATAACAACAAATTAGTACAATGAATCAGTAACATTAAATATCAATACCTAATATGCATGTTTAATCAGTCATATTTAACAACTAAGAAATTATGACTTATGTGATACTCTTTATAGTAACAATAAATCGATAACAGTTGACTTTCAGTATCAGAGTCGTCACTCTTGCCTGTTGATACATTAATTACTCATTATAACTCTCAATGAGTATATTACTTGAATCAGTAGAGATCACACCACCACAAATCACAATATTTGATGGAAATATCGTCGGCCATCATCCTGTATATATATAAATCAGTCTCCAACCAATTTGAATAATTAACCAACATTTTTTATTTTAACACACATAATATATTAAAAGTAATAACAACCAATTATTACTCATTGTCATGCCTATATTAAGTTACAATGCTTACATTAACAATGTAATCATATCAAAATGTCAAAATTATTATTTCTATATAAATCGTATAAAATGCAATACTTCAAAATTGAACTGATGAGAATATAAAACCATGCAGTCAAAATGACTGGAATAACCAATATTATAATATACCAAGAGTTAAGCTGCAGAATTTCATTAAATCTAGAATAAATGTCAGTTTAGATAGAAGAATAAATTCTTGAATCAAAATATTTGAAAATAAAAGTAGGTTTGGAGTCACCTACAACGATATGAAAAAAGTTCGTATAAGCAATAAAATGAACCAGTAGCCAAAAAGCCACTTCCTCTCTCCACTTCCCATCCCCCCCCCCCCCCCCCCCCCCCCCCCCCCCCCCCCTTCACATCAAGCCAAATGAGAGGATGAAATGGGCTGAGTGGTCCAAACTGGCATTGCATGCTTATTCCATAGTTACTATGGAATAAAGACCGAGCATCAACACTGCCATGCTAAATTTTGGCATCCCAACGCTGCACCCCCATAGTCACAACGCACAAAATTCCAATGCAACAATGCCATAGTTTAGAAATTTATGACTTTTAAATAAATTCATTTAAGAACCATGA